GCGTTCATTAATTATCAAAAATCTGCTGATATGGGTAGCGTTAACGGAACATATAATGTTGGTTATTGTTATCAAAACGGAATTGGAATTGAAAATGATAAATGCAAGGCATTTACTTATTATTGTAAATCTGCTAACATGGGTAGTATTAGTGGAACATATAATGTTGGTTATTGTTATCAAAATGGTATTGGGGTCGAAAAGGATGAAAATAATGCATTCATATATTATCAAAAATCTGCTAATATGGGTGATGCTGATGGAGCGTGTAATGTTGGTTATTGTTATCAAAATGGCATTGGAGTTGAAAGAGATGATCATAAAGCGTTTATTTATTATCAAAGGTCTGCTAAGTTAGGGCATGTTAAAGGAACATTTAATCTCGGCGTTTTTTATGAAAATGGAATTGGTGTTGTAAAGGACGAACAGAAGGCATTTCTTTACTATAAACAATCTGCAAAAATGGGTTATGTTCTTGCAATGTCTCTAGTTGGTTCTTGCTACCAGAATGGGCTTGGAGTAACAATGAATCCAGAAAAGGCCAACTATTGGTATCAAAAGTAAGACTACTATTTATTATGCAATAAATTATTTGCAATAATTATTTTTTATAATACTGACTTGAGCTATTATCGTATTAAATAATTTAGGGGACAAAATCAACTACCAGGTAGTTCTTATCATATTCATTCATTCATTAATTAGAATCGCTTAATCAATTCTCATTATATTATATGTATCTATCATAGAATCTTTATAATAGTCTTAAAAAAGATATGGAGGGTTTGCAAATATGTACGTTATAAGCTGAACAGATATCGAAACACCACACTTAATATTGCGATTAAATCAAGAGAATATTATGAAGAATTTATTAAAGAGGTAATTTAGTTTTAAGATTGAATATTTTAATAATTCAAGCGTTCACATTTTTTAATTATTTGTTTTTTAATACAGTATATTTAAAAGGCAAAATTTCAGAATATATTATTTTTTAATTTTTTTTTAATCAATAAAAGAACAAATGCTATAATCCACAGGAGATGATTATAAAATAGAAATTAGCAAATGATTATGTATTAAAGTCGAAGTCTTCATTTTTCTTGCACATATTGAATAAAGATAAATTGGACTATTAAATAGCATTTCTTCGGGATTACGGACAATTCACTCAAAATTCTAGGTCATTTAGCAACAAAATAATTTATGTAATACATTTTGTAGATTTATAACTTTTAATATCATTTATTTAGCAATTTGTACGTTGTATATTATATATATAATATCTAAATTTAAATTCTGATAAAGTATGTTTAACCAAGAGTGTTTTTATAAAAATATATGATCTTTGAAGATTTTAACTAAATTTAACTCGGGGTAATATTACCTCATTATAAATTCATTTTAAACAAAGAATTAAATTTATTATTTGAGGTTAGGATTAGTGTTAAATTAGGGTTAGAAAATGTAGACATATATTAGAATTGTATGATGAAAACTTTTATTTAAAAGCACAAAGCTAGTTTTCATAATTAAATGTTGTTTTTACTTTTTATTTTTTATTTATTATGTTACACAAGATCCTAGAATCTAATTGGCTCCACATATAATGTAATATCACCCGGAATAAGTTAGTAATAACCTTATATTGATTACATATAATATTGTTGCACATAGTAATTTATCATCATCGGGCACCCAATAAATATTTTCATAAAAATCTCCGTTCACTATATCGCAGGTAATATGCAAGAGTTGACTTCTGACAATGTTGCTTAGTTCAACCTGTATGTTATAAATTTCTAAAAAATGATAAGGAAATTAGTAAATAACTATAATCCTATGTAACATGTTAGAAATATAATTTTAAAACATACGAGTTAAAGTGAATTCAAGGATAAAGACAGCAAAGACAGTGATAGATGTAAAAAACCGAATCATTTTAAAATATAATACTTAATATAAAGAGTATTAAAAGACGTTTGGGTAAATATTGAAAGTATAAATATTTGATGAAGGGAGTAGTAAGTGTATGACAGGTGAATAAAGAGAGTAAAAGTATGAAATTGATTAGGGAGAGTCAAGATCAGTCTATTTTTACGATGTATTTATTTCTTTTGAAGCATAGACATTCGAAAATTGTTTGCATAGGCAATGAAAAATTAAATGTTTGAAATTAACATTATAACAATTGTAAGCAGAAATTTGGTAACTGTCTAAATAACTTTTTATACGTTTTAAAGTAGTTTGAGAGTATGATTTTTTACCAATAAAAAAAAAGTCTTAAAGCCCATCTGTAGCTTTAAAATAGATCCCAGTTCATATCAGAATTATAAATAATTTACTCGTACATAACCAGTACGAAACGTGAGAACGAATATTGTTTGCCTAGTTTTATAACAAAGTTACTTTTCTGGAGCATGCACTTATGTTGCACAATGTTTTGTATACGAGTGTCGCTAAAAGAAAACCCGAAAATTTAAATATGACCATTACGGCTAATTTTGATTGTGATCTAAATAGCAGAACCGATTACTTATAATTCTGGTCAAATTTGCAGATTATTTGACCAAATTAGGGATCAAAAACTCTGAACTTGGCCAAACGATCTGCAAATTTGACCAGAATTATAAGTAATCGGTTCTACTATTTAGATCACAATCAAAATTAGCCGTAATGCTTATACTGTATTTAAATTTTCGGGTTTTCTTTTAGCGATACTCATATAGAAAATCGTATGGACTGACTTTGGCTTGCTTTTTTTGAAATTAAACTAGAACATGATCATGCGGGCGGCTTCGCCGCCCATAATATACAAAGATAATAGATTTGTTGTTTTATTCTTACGGAAAGAAATTTTTCTTAAGTTCCGTCTTGAATTTAATGCATCAATTTGGAGCCAAAGCTGGTGCATTAAAATTAAAGAATTTTCTTTCCGTCATTAGATGTTCCGTCTTAAATTTAATGCACCAATTTGGGCCTCTCCTGGGTCAAAGCTGATGCATTAGATTTAAAGCATTTCCTTCCCGTCATTAAATGTTCCGTCTCGAACTTGATGCACCAATTTGGGCCCCTGAGGGACCAAAGTTGATGCATTAGATTCAAAGTTGGTGCATTAAATTTAAAGTTTTATTTGTCATGTGAAACGATCATGCTGTGATCCGTACAGCCGTAGGATTACGGATTACAGTACCGTATGATCTTATCACCTGCCAAATAAAATAGTTACAAGATGTTACACTCATATATTCTGATCCGAATCTAAATGCTATTGTGCACATTTTCGGAATGTGGCGAATCATGAAAGTGATTTCCGCTGTGCGCATATATTGTACACATATGGCTAATTCGGGACATGCATAAAGTCTAGACATGTACCCCAAAAATTTTTGATGGTGGGTTAGGTCGATATTATATTGTCTACTGAATAACGATAAGTCTTTAATTTTACAATGTAATTAAAATGGGTGGAGATAAATTTGACGTTTACAATGTACGTACATACGTACGTATGTACATATGTATATAATATCGATATCGAATGGCCTGACTCTATAGAGTTTGGACTAATGGGTTTTGGGCTGGGACTAATGGGCTTGACGCATTATCTTGCATGATCTATTATATCCTTGAATTCTTTAGGGTCTTATTTGAATTACTTAGGGTATTTATTGAGCAATTGTTCCGTATAGCAGACCAATTAAAAACGACTAATTATGGGGTTCAAAGTAACTTTAGTACCTCTGTCTAGGGCCCAACGTCTCCGATTAGTCCGTGAGTATTATATTTGACGCAGACCGTTATCAACGGGGTTTAACGTCTAGTATATTATGGTAAATATGGCGAAAGCCCAAGATTATGTAGAAAACAATTTTCCTAAAGACAGCAAAGTAATAAATGCTGCCAATAAGAATTTAGTTGGTTCATTAGATTTAAGAAAATATTCAAACTTAGAAGAATTAAATATTAGGGAAAATCAAATAACTAATTTAATTTTTTCTGATAATAATACAAACATCACTAAAATTAAAGCTTTTAACAATCAATTAACTAACTTAAACTTCTTGAAAAGTTTGCCTAATCCTGAAAAAATCAAATGGTTGGGCCTTTTTAAAAATCAAATAACCTCTTATAATTTGGAAGTCTTGGCTCCTTTCATTAATTGTGAAATGTTAAGTATTGGAAAAAATAACATTAGTGGAAATTTAAGTTCCTTACGATATTGAACTAATTTAAAAAGGCTAGATTTAATAGGGATAAATCCACAAATTTTTGGGTTAGAATATTTAGCGCATAATCCTTTTGATGGAGTGACTGGTGACTTTGGAATGTTTTATCAAGACTATGCGCCCGTGAATATAGATCAATTTAATAATAATACTTGGAGAGGTCCAAGGAATGATTTTCGAAAACTTTCTGACAAAAAAGTTTGTGAAACAATCAATAGTTTATGGCAGCAGTTAGAAAAGTTAAAGCAGCAAAATCAAGAAACGTTAAAGCAGAAAAATCAAGAATTAGTTAAGTTAAAGCAGCAAAATCAAGAATTAGAAAGGTAAAGCAGCAAAATCAAGAAAAGTTAAAGCAGCAAAATCAAGGATTAGAAAAGCAAAATCAAGAATTAGAAAAGCAAAACCAAGAATTAGAAAAGTTAAAGCAGCAAAATCAAGAATTAGAAAAGTTAAAGCAGCAAAATCAAGAATTAGAAAAGCAAAATCAAGAATTAGAAAAGCAAAATCAAGAATTAGAAAAGTTAAAGAAGCAAATTCAAGAATTAGAAAAGCATCAAAATCAAGAATTAGAAAAGCAGCGAAATCAAGAATTAGAAAAGTTAAAGCAGCAACTTGAAGAGTTTTCTAACCTACTTTTTCCCAGCCAATCTTATAATTTTACTCAGATTAAGCAAGAAATTGTTCGTCTTAAATGCCAAGAATTAGCATCACAAGTTAGGAAAAAAGAAGAACAATTAGAGCAACTAGTCAACGATGCTAAAACTAAAACGGATCATCTGGGAAATATAGTCGACCTACTCCTGGAAACTCAAAGGCAAATTACAAAAACTATACCAGAAAGCGATGAATATTTGAAGGGACAATTAGATGCCTATCAAAATGTTTTAGAAAACAATATTACCAAGGAAGAATTACATAATCTTCTTAATAAGCAAATAGAACTTGTTCAATTAGAGAATCTTCTAGCTAGTTTACAAATTAATAACCCTCAATAGACAGAGCACTATTCAGTTTAAGCAAGTCGTAAAATCCTTTTATTTCTTGCATTGCAGTACAGTAAATTTAATTCAACCAAACTTCCACAATTTACAAAATTTAACTTGTATTCGGCTAATGATTTCTCTAAATATTTTCAACCCATAGCTCAAACTAGCCTAAAACATTACCAAATTACCAAAATCACTATCTTTGAATACAAAGTCATAATATTTCTACTATATCTAAAACCAAGAAAGAAATACTACGTATTCAAAACATCATAATAGCAAAACATTTACACAAAGTATGAAATATCAACTCAAGATTCTTTGCCTCTACCTGCTATAAAACAAAAAAGTTAACTCTGTTAACTGTATTAGTCCTATAATCCCTTTTTTATATCTTTAACTTTTCCCAATCCAACATAAGCCTAGTTTATTATTTACTTTTTCTTTACTGTATTGAATAAATTCAAATTCTTTTGCAACAATCAAATATTCAGAGTGAAATAGAAATACCGTTCAAGATTATGCATATAAAAAATATTGGTCAATTTTTATACCAGATCTTTTATACGTATGTGGTATAAAGAGTATTCATTATTTAATAAAATCATAAATATAGAAAAAACAGCACTAGCGAACAGCTTTAGCTATGCAAAATACTTTAGCAACAAATGCAATGATTGATACTACTACAATGATATAGCAATATGATATAAAAAATGAACTTCTATTCTATATTTGACACATAATTTATGAAGAAACCAGGCACGGATGCATGAGTAAGTTATATTTAAAGTTATAATTTTGTGTCAAATTAGCGGTCGGAATAACTTTGAATCCACGGGACCGACAATTTTTCTTGTGATATGGATAACCAATGTAAAATGGTATTGCTAATAAATTCGACCAAGATCGTCTTATATCAAAGTTTTTTGAAACTTTAAATAAAAATCAAATCTTAAAGGGTTTTTTGTAAATAAAAATAACAAAGTTTTTAAATAAATTTTAACTAGGCTTTGTTATCTTAGTTTTAAAAAAACTTGATGTACTTATTGTTCCCAGAGTTACTACTTTAGGATCTAATGTAAGAACTAATTTTACGGTTAAATCTCAGTCGTGTACGGTTGGTGATAATTAATTTTGCAAATTAATACGACTACGACACTTGCCGTATTATTTTCCGTAATTATCTTAACGCAATGCCGTAATTCCAAAGCACCCCTTGAATGTGTGGTGCAGATTGCAACGTAATACGATCAAGAAACTTCAAAACAAACGTCCGTTTTTGTCAAAAATCGTTTATTTCTCGAAATTCTACATAAGAAACCACTTTTGATGCTCTAATAAAAGTTTTCGTTGGGCAATTTTACTATATAGCCTACTCTCTTCTAACTCGTACCCTAGCCCTAACAAAATTAACATTAAAGAATTTTAGCTGCGCCACAAACCTAGCACGAATAGGCCAGGTCAACAAATAACCAAATCCAGCCCATGACAAGGATTATGATCATGATTTCTATAATTTTGGCCAATACCATGGGCTTTTTGGTCTGAACCTGAATATTTTGATCCCGATCCATGTTAGTATTGAAGTTTCATGAATTGTCCGGTGTTACGGTCTGGGAGGAGAGACTTTCAAATTTTGTTACCGAATTTAGCTTAGACCGTAAGCATAAGTATAAACTTACAGCTTATTTTGTACGTATATATTTTATAGGTACTGTGGAATTTTAGGACTAGGATCTACGTTTTGGGTTAACTATGTTAATTTTAGGTTCTACGATTATTAGTTATGTAGGTATCGGTGTTTAATTTGGATTTATACTGTTATGTGTGAAGTATGTAATGCGATAATTAAGGATTGCTTATTATGGTTGTAAATAGCTTTATTTATTTACTTTATTTACATGAAGAAAGTTATGTACAAGGTTATGTGTTAACGCCCTTCTTCCTTCGTCCAAAATCACTTCCTTATATATCCTTTTACTCTTTTCATTCCCACACTTTCCGTAGTAAAGAAAATGAAGTAATTTCATTTGAAATTACAAACTATGAAGTAACGACTACAAGATCTTAAGAAAAATGAAGTAACGGCTACGATATTTCAAGAAAAATGAAGTAACAGAAAGAAAAATGTAATATGTAAGGTTTAATGAATTATGAAAAATGAAATAATAGTATGTAAAAATGTTGTAATTCAATGTTGGGCGATTAATCGATCTTCAAATGTAGTCATGGCGATGTAACCGTTTTACTGCGGAAATTACTCTGTCGAACAGGATGTGCAAAAATTTGCGTAACACCGGCCCATGTGGAACCTTAATTATAGGACTAATTTATGATAATTTTTATAATGAAAGTGAATGCAATAGTTATATTTTGGGTGATTGAATAAACAGGAGGAACCGTCGATGTTACACAACTGATTTTACACACGGTGTGAAACACATAAAAAAATTATTTTGCAATACTTGATCAGTCCGCTAGTACATGTTATGATTATAATCCAACAACATTTTTATATAGTAAAAATGGTGTTGGATTATAATCATAACATGTACCGATACTATTGTAGCGGACTGATCAAGTATTGTAAAATAATTTTTTTATGTGTTTCACACCGTGTGTAAAATCAGTTGTGTAACATTGACGGTTCCTCCTGTTGATTGAATATAACAGATATAACAGTCGCTACACAGTTGATATGTCTGTTATACTTTCCCAGCAAATTTTTGCTCAATGTAATATAACTATATAGAACTATATAGGCATTTTGGCGTAATTTTATGAATAACATAAATTGGTTGGCCCAAACATTTACATATGTAATTTTATACGTTACAAGATGCCAGGCTTGGCTGAGTTGATTTAATTATAAGTTCAAAAGCTTGAAGTCTAGTTTTTCTTTTAATAGTACTCAAATACAAGCAAAAAAGCTATCGCTTTTTTTATTACTTTTGTACATTTCTTTATATAAGCCACATGCTTCACTGCGCTTATGGCCGCATGCAAAGCAATTTCATTCACCAGTCTTTTCCAAAGTCTTAGAGAATTTTACCTTCACTGAAAGTCTGATTTTCGCCAGAAGTTCATTTTTCACCAAGAGATTCGCCGTTTCGTCAGGGGGTTTCGTCTTCCGTCCTTTGCTGGATTTGAAGACATAGTGGCATATTTCATATTTCAATTTTAAATTGACGTCAATTTAAAACTGTGAATCGTGAATTGACGTGTAATACAAATGCTAATGATAATGGCTTTTTTTTTATTTTTTGCATTTTAAACTCAATTAACCCAAATTAACATTCAATCAGCTAATGTTGGTTGTAAAGCAAGATCGTATACTGCATTACAAATAACTGAATTTAATCAGATTTAATTATTTTGAAATCAATATGTTATCTGAATAATTATGATATATACAGAGGGTTTACTAGGTTCCCTAAGCTCCTATTGGTTGCTTAAATATCCTGTTCCTAATTGTGCGAAATTGATTACAAATTCTGATTTGATGTCATAACCAAAAAAAAAAACAATAAAATACGGCAAAAAAAACATTGAAATAGTAAGCCATATTGCCAGTGTTGGTATTACGGTCAAATAAGGCGCATATACTAATAAAACTTTGCAAGGAATGGTTTTTATCAAGATGCGAAATGTTGTTTCATAAGTAAAATTATGGGCTATTGACGATTTTTGAAAATTTTTCGGCATTTTATATTACACCAAATCTTGTAATTTAATTGGCGGACAGAGGATTGCGTGATCTCTTTTGTTCATTCAGAGATAATATTTACATATATCCAATCAGAAGTGGAGAGGAATTAGGGCATCCATATCCTATTATCTGGAATGTTCAGATAAAATTTCTATTTCTAGTATGAACAAATTTAATTTAATTATTCAGTAATTGAATTGACTGATGATTTTTTCAGTTAATTCAATTATAATTAAAATTTACCTTCAATCTATCGAGTAAAGTGCTTAAAAACCTCTTCGAAGATTTCGAATTTAACAGCTTTTTAACATAAACAGTTATAATAAATTGTATCATTATTTAGATATCTTGATTAGTAATTAGATGAAGGTCAAAGTTCTACTACTCGGTTGAATGGACGATGAAATCATTATTTTATGCATCAAGGTACCAATTTATACCATGAACTTTGTGAAACGAAGTGGAAGGTTCAATTCGAGTTTGGGTCCGGTTACAAGAACTTGATTCTGGTTAGCTGTACAATAACGATAATCGATAATCGAATGGGTATGATATACACTGCATTCCTGATATCTATACTGTCACGATTTTTCCAAAGAAAAACCGTGACTGGATAGAATATAGGTAGTAATGACACTGCGTGTTAAGACTAAGCCATAACCACAGGGATATTGTGAGGCTTATTGGTGGCGAAGGCTTAGAGGTTCAGATCTGTACAAATAATTATTATTCGTCATCTTTGTTTATTCTA